GTTAAAGCAAGCTCCATCCCGGGAAAAGGAGGAGCACTGTCTCTCTGGAACCTTTTGGATACCTAGCCAGAGACAGATGGAAGAGAAGACCTCCAAATGCCCATTCTGGATGCTGGGATTTACAATTCCAAGATGCCCCGAAGTTAAGTAAGTTCATTAATACCCAGGCCACAGGAAATGAAAAAGTATTATGTTGAGGTCAAGCTCATACAATTATCATCACTGACAATTATCATCACTGACCTTTAAGTTGGAAGAATGTTATCTCCTATACTAATACTCCTATACTAATGGTGGCGTAGTGGTTAAGTGCTACAGCTGCTAACCAAAAGATCAGCAGTTCAAGTCCTCTGTGGGGCAGTTCTACTCTGTCCTATAGGGTCTCTATGAGTTGGAATCCACTTGACGGCAATGGGTTTGGTTTTATTTTATACCAATAAGGTAGCCTGCAGATGATTTCTGCCCATTTTATAGACAAAGAACCTGAGGCAGTAAAGAGGAGTAAGTGTATGACATCACATAATGAGTCAAGGGCAGAGCCAGAAGGAAAACCAGTATTGTGTCTCAACCCAGGGCTTTATTCTAGCTACTAAGAGTAATAATGACTAATGTTTAGACAGGACTTGCTCTTCATCAGGCACTCTTCTCAGTGCTTTACCCTAGTAATTACTTTAATCCTAACAATCATTCTATGAGGTAATTACTGCTAGTATGCCCATTTTACAGATGCGAAGACTGCAATGTAAAAGATCAAGTAACCTGCCTCTAAGAGGTGGAAGCAGGATCCCAAAGCAGGTAGCCGGCTCCAGAGACTGTGCTCAAAACCCTTTGCCATAGGCCTCTTTCTCTCCCAAACAATGCCTGTCTCCTCATTTACTTCCAGGAATCTTTCTCCATGTCTTTTCAGTTTCCATGTCTTTTCAAAATTTCCACCATGGTGCCTTTATTCATTCCATGTTTTCCTCACCCTCCAACACCTTCTCAGTCCCTGTGTACTCCTCATCTCTGACTCCCCCTAAAACACTTGGCTTTGGGCAACTCTGTCTCATCTGGTCTGAGGGAGAGCAAAGAAAAGGGTCCCTGAGACCAGAGCCAGACCCTGCCCTTAAAATAGCTCTAAAGTAAGGGAAGGCTGCTAAGACACACCTCCCCACCAGTGTCTTTTTCGGCAACCTTTTTTGCTCCCTCCCAATTTCTTTTTAATCAAAACATGCAATTTTCTTGATTCAGCTTTTTTCTTGACAGTAAAATCAGCAAATGTAACAAGAAAGTCAGGCTATCAAGGTACAGGCCACTGGAAAATTGACAACTTATGATGAAGAGGTAGCCTCCCTACTGAGTTGTTCTGTGGCCCTTGCCTCCAATAACACCTTGTCCCCAAGTAGAGTGTTAGGCAATCAGTCAGAAGAGCGGCAGTTAATTCCCTGTCCCTGGATCTGGCTTCTGCCTGCAGACACCTTAGAGGCTACTCCAAGTTGGAGGCAGGGTGATGGATGGAGAGATGACAAGCTTTGAATTATTGAGCAGTTACATAAAACGTCTATCCATTCTTTCTTCCCTCTACCCCACAAAACTCTGCACCAAATCTATTCAATATAATCCAGGCCATTTTCCTGTAATGTATCTTCTCTTGAGGCTAATCCCAGACAGTAACAGAAATGGGTGAGACCTAGAAATGCAGCAGTCACCAGGCCCCATGGTAGCAAGGAAAGAATCTATAAGCAACAGGGATCATGCGGCTCTAGTGGAGTGGCCTGGAAGTTCCGGTCTAGGAGTCAAAGCACCTGGATTCTGAACCTGGCCCTGCCACACAGCAGCTGTGTGACCCTCTCAAGTCACTTGAGCTCTCTGAGCTGCTTTCATCATCTGTAAAGTGGTGGGGGATGGATGGGCAATGGATTAAATGATGTCTCAATCCTTTCCAGCTCCATAATCCGATACTGTTGATGAGCTGAATCTCTCCTGTGTTAAAAGAGTTTGGAATGAAAATCTCCATCAAATTCTCATAGCACATCCACAACGTTCTCTTCATTCTCACGGGTGTTCTCTCCCACGCTACAAGTCTCCACCATCTTGCCAGCATACACATGTAAATATTTTTCATAAATTTTAAGGAAGGACAATTTCTAGTGGAGAGGGACAGCACCAGTTAGTGATTTGAGGACTAGGTGATGTTTGCTGTTACCTGCACCTCTTCCACTTTCACTGAAGGATGTCTAGGGTAGATAGGACCTTGGCATCCCCATAAAGCCCATAATAAAATCAGCTCTTTCACCCCCTCAGGATGAAGGAAATCCCTAATGCCCTGCCCATGACTTTAGAGTCACTTATTTCTGCATCTGAGCCTTGATTTCCCCATTTTTATTCTTATCACTTCTTACATTTATAGAGCAATTTACAGTTTCCCAAGAACTTTCAGGTTTTATATTATCCTCAAAACCTCATGAGTGACCACATGGTTTGTTGTGAAGAGCATGTGAAATCATGTACATAAATGCCTGCCACAGTGTCTGGCCCCTGTTAAGTGCTCAATAAATACCAGTGAAACAAATACAAACCAACAGAATAAAGGGCAATTACAGTAAATACTATAGCATATACAATCCTGCAACAACAGTAATAACAAACAATAATTTACGAGTGGATATATAGGTAGGTATGTATGCTAAATAGGTGTGGGAGATCACATGGGAGTACACCCACATGAATATATAGGTATGGTTGTGGATATTTCTACATGTTTTATTTATATGTGCTGCATATATATTCATACATAAAATAGAGCACATAGGGGGCACAATCATGGAAACTTTTAAGACATAACCAAACACCTCATGGGGCTGAGATACTGGGCTTGAAGGCTAAGGACCATAGTCTCGGGAGACATCTAAGTCAACCGGTGCAACGTGATGAATTACTTAGTACGGCCTTTCTCGCCACGGTCTTGTAACGCCCACCCAGGTGACCAGGTGGGGCTGTGCAAATAAGATAATTATGGCCCACCAAGAGGACTGATCAGTTTTGCCTTAAAAGAGAGCCAATTCCAGGGCAGAAAGAGAGCCCACCACTACCAAGGAAGGAGAGACCAGCAGGAGAGATCCACAGGAGAGACCCGCAGGAGATAGCACAGTGGGCTTCCGGGCCAATGGAGCAAGAAAGCTGAGTGCCTTTAGGCAGAGACTGAGGGCCAGGGAGAAGCCTATGCCTGACCCATGAATCTGGACTTGCCAGCCTTCACAACTGTGTGAGCCATTTCCTTTATATGGTTAGTGAGTTCTGTGAGACGCTGCTGCAAATTAGGGAACCCAAAGACAGGAGGGAGAGCACTGAGGGGAGAGGAAGTAGTTGATGTTAGAGATGATGGAGTGGTACAGCAGCTTGGAAAAGTTGGACATTTGGGACATCTTTAACCTCCACCTCATAGGAACTAGCTTTGTGCCGATCTTTATAAACGAAATTAATCATTTAAATGGCATAACATAGTCCATAAAAATAACGTTCTACATCCTACTGTGGTCAGCAACGTCTGGAGTCTTAAAAGCTTGCAAGCGGCCATCTAAGATACAACTGTTGGTCTCTTCTTGTCTGGAGCAAAGGAGAGTGAAGAAAACCAAAGACTCAAGGAAGCAGTTAGTCCAAAGGACTAATGGCCCACATGAACCACAGCCTCCACTAAACTGAGACCAGAAGAACTAGACAGTGTCTGGCTACCACTACTGACCACTCTGACCAGGGACACAATAGAAGGTCCTGGTTAGAGTGGGAGAAAGTGTAGAACAAAATCCAAATTCATCAAAAAGAGCAGAAATACTGATCTGATAGAGACCAGAAGAACCACTGAGACTATAACCCTAAGACACCCTTCTAACGTGGAACTGAAGTCACTCCAAGAGATCACCTTTCAGCCAAATAACAGACCAAAACCAAACCAAGCCCATTGCCATCAAGTTGATTCCGACTCATAGCGACCCTCTAAGACAGAGTAGAACTGCTCCATAGGATTTCCAAAGAGAGGCTGGTGGATTCAAACTGCGGACCTTTGGGTTAGCAGCTGTAGCTCTTAGCCACTATACCACCAGGTCTCCAAATAATAGACAGGCCTATAAAATAAACAATAACACCCGTGAGGAAGGTGTTTCTTAGAACAGTCAACTATACGAGACCAAAAGGGCAACAACTGCCCAAAAGCAAAGATGAGAAGTCAGGAAAGGGCAGGGAAATAGGATGACTGGAAACAGGGAACCCAGCGTGGAAATGGGGAGAGTGCTGACACATTGCAGGGATTACAACCAATGTCACAGCACAATTTGTGTATGAATTATTGAATGGGAAACTAATTTACTACATAAACTTTCACCTAAAGAGCAATAAAATATTTTAAAAAAAAAACCTCATGAGTGAGACTGGCATTCCTGTTTTTCCAGATGAGGAAACTGAGTCTCAGACCCATTAAGGGGCTTGTTTGAGGCCACACAATTGAGCAAGGGCCATGTGTACAGTCCGGTCTGTCTTCAAGTCTGGAGCTCACAGCACCATGGCTGAGTCTGTGAAGGACCACATTCCTGCCCCTGCCAACACCAATTTCCAGTTCCCCCTCAGTCCTCAGACCCTCTCCCCACAACCCCCACCGAGGCCACTGACGGGATACAGGAACTGTGTCAGTCAAGGCTCAGAGAAATCCTTGCACATCTCATCAAACCCCTTCTCCACAATGCCAGCCACACTGACAATAGCCGTATCTATACTGGCAGGAGTCGGGCTCCTGGGCCTACCCTTCTGCTATGCTTAGAAGCCCCTGATTCAGAGATTTGAGAACCTGGTGTTCCTGAGCAAGTCGCTCTCATTTCAGGCCACCTGCTCCACACTATTCCCTCTCTATCCCTGGGGCACTAGAAACAAACAAACAAACAAAAATAGAGGCAAGACATTACTTTTTCCCAGAAGTCAGCAGTGCCTGCCCACAGACACTAGGGTTGGAATGTGTTCTCCCTCCCAACTTCCCCCAGCCTACAGTTGCCATCTCGGCCTGTAAGACTCAATGAACCATCAGTCTTTTGCGAGATGAGAGATTAGCCTTTATTGTGTGCCCAGCAGGGCACAAGAACAGCACATGCAGAGGACTGAGCAGCACGCTGGCCACTGGCTGGTCCGGTCAAAGCGATGGCAGCTGCCCGGCCTCACTTGGTGCATTTCCTGGGAGAGCACTTGCACTGCTTGGCGTTGAGGACCTCGTGGTACACCACGGAGCCATTAATGCAGTGCAGGGGCACCCGCATGGGCTCTATCCGCGTCGGCGAGCAGCAGGAGCACTGGTCCTGCATATCCTCGGTGTCGATGGAGTACATAGCTTTGCTGGTGCACTTACCCTGCAACAGAGCAGAGGAAGGCGGGCATCGCGATGACAAGAATACTCGGTGCCAAAGGCTCTGGGGCAGCCAGCTTCCTCCCCCCACCTCCAGGCAAGGCCGCCCTTGCCTGGACCATAGAAACCCAAGAGAGCTAGGCAATGCATAAAGGTAGATCTCTCGGGGACTTCTAAAATTTCCCCTCACTCTATGTTTATCTGTCCTTATGGTAATATCCGGAGTCCCTGGGTGGTGCATGCTTGACTACTAGCTGAACCCACCCAGAGGCACCTCAGAAGACAGGCCTGGCGATCTGCTTCCAAAAGTTCACAGCTTGAAAACACTATGGAGCAGCTCTACTCTGTACACATGGGCTCTCAGTGAGTCTGAATGGACTCAACAGCAACTAACAACAACATGGTAATACCCTACACAAATCCCTCTAGGTGCAATTTCTATGCACGTTTGATTGACCTTCAGGAAATGTAGCCCCATCTTTCATAAATAACACACCATTCTCTTTATGGGACTTGTCGAGCCATTCCTCAGTTTTTTCCTTCTGGGACCTAAAGTTTCCAGTCATTTCAATAAAACATATACTTAAAAAAATGCTTCCAGTTCCTTTCACCACTCACTTTCCAGACCATCTTAGATATAACCAAAGAGCTGTGTCCAAACAAGGAGGCTGAGTCCATTCCACCTCAGGCCTCACTGAAGTCAAGGACTCCTTACCTGGCAGTAATGAATGTCCACCTCCTCTTCGGACTTACAGTCTCCCACTTTGACATACTGCAACCTGGCAGTGATATCTTTGCATTCAGGCTCCCCACCTATGGGACAGGTGAGAGATGGGACTTGGGACCTGGCTGGGGTTCTACAGAACACTCTTCAGCCCCAGGCCCCTCACTTGGCTAGAAATAGGTCAGTTTCACAGTAAACTAATAAAGAAGGCCAGCCACAGGGAGGGGAATTAACTTATTTATCCTGGTTCACTTCAGCTGCTCCTGATCTTTCATATTCAGGGTTTAACTTGCTTAACAGTATAATTTTAATTGAAGGAAGAATCTAGATTCTGTGTTTTGGTAATGTAGATGCATGAGACTTGCTTTTACATAATTATAGACTCTAAAAACCATAATGGCTAGGGCAATCCTCTCATGCTTCTAGCTATATCCAGAAACTAATGGGCAATGAAGTAGCCAACAAATATAATTAATATCTATCTATCCCTGAATTAAGTAAGAGACAAGGCAAAAGCCATGGCTACATAAGGGCACTCACTGCCTCTGTGGGGGTCAAGAAGATCCCTAAGAGTTCTCATGGAGTCATTTCCTTGGGTATTGCTGTCTCCAAATAACTGACATGGGTTTCCTTACATGCAAGGGCTGGTGGCATTCAGATCTGAATCTCTACTTGCCCCACTGAGAATCCTAAGATTTAAAAGCAGCTTACCATTCCCATTTTGAACACTGAGAATTTTCCATTCTTAGCTGGCTCCAAATCTAAATCAATCCCAACTATATATTAGTCTGCCTCCCAACTTTCAAATAATTTCACTTTAAAGGGAAAGCCTGCCAATTACACTTCGAGGATGAAGGAAAACATATTTAGGGTAACATACTATATATTTTTTTCTGTAGATTTAAATCCCTGAGCCTAGTTTATTTTCCTTACAAAGGGTCCCAAAACCTCCTGAATGCACTAATCAACAAAAGCCCCTTGTTGCTGGTTTTGCAGATAACAGCCTCTACCAAATTCCACATGAAGTGCACCTAGAGAGAATTCATCTTCTCTGATGGTTTCCTGACTTCACATTCTTAAACCATTCAGATGGGGATAACAGAAAGAGATGCTTTCAGAGTGTGTTTCTTCAGTCTGAGATTTGGTTACAGCAGTTACAGGGGCTGTCAGAGTAAGTCATCAAGAAAAGAATGAATGACTGAACACTGAAGGTATTCATGTTTTCAACCCTTCCCTTCCCTACATGAATCCAACACCAAAAATTTTTTAAAATAAGAAAAAATTAGTCGACGTAAGTAATTCTATATTCAGAAAATATAGCATTAGCATTGATATTCTGAAAGTTACTTGTGCTCATGAACGCAAGAATGTGTGGTAGGAATATTGTCTGATGGGCATACCTGTCAAGCCCCATCTCCGAAGATGATGTGAGCTATTAGTACCAACCAGTATAACATAAATGCAACTTCAGGAAGGGCCGAGAGTGAAGAAGGGGACGTTAATAAACTTGGACCAGCCTTATGAGCCCTTGAGAGGGGACTCTGTGTTCTCTGAAGCCCTCACAGTGCATGAAGGGATTGCTTCACAGGCATCTGAAAGAGGATTTGAGCAGAGGGCACAGTCTGGGAGGGGAGGCTGTTCTCCACAGGCTTGAACACAGTGATTGGCCTGTGAACAAGAAGTCATCTTTCTGGAATAAAGCTTATTCCAAAAAACAGCCCCTGGACTTGGTCTGATGGGTTTCAAGGGACAGGCTATTGGTAATGTACTCACATGTGTCACAGCAGGTGCCTGGAATTTTCATGATTTTCCCCTAAAAAAATTAGTAAAGTCTCAGATTAGGCACAAAAGTACACAGTGGACAGCTTTCAGATCATTATGGGCCAATTCCTGGCTCTGGACTCACTGCCCTGAGCTTAATTTGACAGATACAAACTGTGCTTTCCCATCACAAATGTAAGCAGATTGACAACCTTACATGGCCACGCTGAAATAATTTTGATTATTCTGAATTCTCTCCCAATTGAGTTATCAGGATCATCATTCCCAATGGAATATGAAAATCAGTGTGATCTCTCATCTTTCTACTCAAGGATCACAGATTCTGTCTCTCCCAAGAAAAAGACCTTTTAAAGATCCTACATATACTGCAGAGAGTCTTGTGTCTCCACCAGACTTTGATTTTGCAATTCCATCAATTCTCAAACTGAGTCACTGATCTCCCTTGGACACTGGGAAATCACAGTAGAGATAGGCTGCTTGATGTTCAGGAGAAGAGAAGGACTCTGTTCATAGAGTCAAAGACAGAGACACTCAAAAAGAAAGCAGAGCCTGAACTTGACTACTTACTCCCTCAGCCAAACATTTGTGCTCATCAAAGGGTAGGCAGCCAGTGACCCTCTTCTCCCAGATGTACTCTCCTCTCTCATTGACCTTGCAGAAGTGACTATCACAGCCATCCTGGATTGTCTCATCACGCTGAAAGGAAAGAAGGGAAGTGGGCAGAGGAAATCTGAAGACCGTGTTTGGGTCACAAAGCTACTTCAAACCATGGCCTTGACTCCTGGTCCTCTGGGGTATTATAGAACAGGAATGAGACAGCATACATAAAGTTCCCAAGCCTAGAATACATAAAGGAGGTGGAGACCCAGTTTTATAACCTATTTACTATGAGCCAAAACTAACCAGTAGCTGTGGAGTTGACTCCAACTCATGGAACCTCATGTGTGTCAGAGTAGAACGGTGTTCCATAGTGGCTGATTTTTTAGAAGTAGATCACCAGGCTTTTCTTCTGGTGCCTCTAAGTGGATTCAAACCTCCAACCTTTCAGTTAGCAGCCGAGCACGTTAACCACCTGTACCATCTAGGGACTCCTTACTATGAGCAGGGCTGCGTAAGTGTAGAGAATCCCCAGATTGTTCGGATTGAGATATAGCGAAAGTAAGATGGCTAATTGATAACTGAACTACAGATGAGCCTGGGGCACCACCTCCCAGCCCCACCAGCTAATTCTCCCTTTCATAGATTAGACTTTGTTTCACCCTGATTTCCTGTCCAATCTCATAGACCCATAGACTCTCAAGGCTGGAGAAATTCTTAAACCAACTCCAAATTATGAGGCCATACACCAACTACACACTTGTCAAAAAGAACAACAAAACAGCTACATCAAAGAAAAAACTCTGGGCCTTCTGTAAGACATTAATCTTTTCTTTATAAGATCAGAGAAAAAAAAGTAGAAAAAGAAGCCAGTATTAAGCCAAGCTTAGTCCCCATTCCTTGAAAACAAAATCCCAAAATGAGAAAGCAGACTGGTGAGATGAGGAGGAACTATTGAGTTCAGCTTGTTCCCACCTGCAGAGTGATGATTTGTCCTCCTCTTAGCTGAATGGTGCAAGCCATAGCCAGACATCTCCCGCAGCATTCGCCTTGGATCTTCTCTTCCTTGTAACCCTGTATTCAGGAGGAAAAGCAGTCATAGTTGACCTCCCCAGAACATCCCAATTATAAGCAGGCTTACTTTGCTGGCTTCTCATCTCTCCTATGCAGCAGTTTCACCTAGAGTTCAGAAAGTCAACATCCAATTCTAACTAACTTTTGTTAGCTCTCAATTCCTAGGTAGCATTACTTCCCTGCACATAGGTACATCTCACTTAAGTTCTAGCAGCCACACCTATTAGAGCTCTCCCCTGAGCTCCATACTTATAAATTCAATTGTTTGCATAAAAATTGTTTATCTTTTTGTCATTTTAAAACTTAACATATCCAAAATGAAACTTGATGTTTGCCCCAAATCTCATCCTTCTCTGGTCTCTCTTACCTGAGTAAATTGTGTCATCACCCAGTTGCTCAAACCAGAAATCTGGGAGTCATCCTTGACTCCTTTCTTTTGCTCATCCCCTTGACTCATCACCAAATCTTGCCAAACATAGATCTCAAACTCACTGCTTGTCCTGACTAGTGTCCTCTGCCATCACCTAGCTGGACGCTAAGAATAGTCTTGATTTGTCTTCCTACCTACATTCTTGCCCCCCTACTATGGGTCTCCCCACAGCTGCTAGAATGACCTTCTTAAAATATAAGTCTAGTCAGGTCACTTACCTGGTTAAAAATCTTCAATGGAATCCCAGTTCTGTTGTTAGCAAAATAGCTTATATTGGAATGACAATTATAAACACTTGACAAAATATTTAAAACAGTTGTTTAAAGGCATGGGAGGATGACCAAAACTAGGGATAAGCTGTAGGGTATTAAATCCTTGAAAGAGAGAACCACAATGAACAAGATTTGCATTTAAATAGCTTTTTCCACAAGGGCAGTCTGTATGACACTGGGCAGCTGGAACTCAAGCAGAAAGTTGCAGTCACAGAGGACAGAGTTTAGGACTGCTAGAAGAGCTGCCTTGGTGGTACAGTGGTTTAAGCATTTGACTACTGACCAAAAGGTCAGCAGTTTGAATCCACCAGCTGCTCTTTGGAAACCCTGTGGGGCAGTTCTACTCTGTTCTATAGGGTCACTATGAGTCAGAATCGACTTGACAGCAATGGGTTTGGTGTTTTGTTTTGTTTTTAAGAGGAGCGGGAATTAAAGAGAAAATCCCAGACAGAGGGAAGCCTCTCAAATCTTTGGTTGATCTTTGAACTATATATTCACAGACAAGTTGCAAAAGAGCCCAGGAACAAAACAACATCTAGAAGGCTGAAAAGAAGAGCAGAAATTTCAGCTGCTGCACACCACAGGGGAGACAGAGTTTAGAGTACCAATCGCACCAAGTTAGAGGGACTAGGTAAAAACCTCAGGTATTTTTTTTTTTTAATACATAATAAAAAATTGTAGACATGCAAAGAAATGGAAAAATTTGGTCAACACTCAAAAAAAATCACCACTCATCAGAAACAGACACACGAATGATCAAGGTATTGGAATTAGCAGGGAGAGAGTTTAAAATAACTATGGTAAATATGTAAAGGAGTCTACAGGAAAAGATGGACGTAATGGGAAAAGGAAAAGAGATGAGGATTTTCAAAAGAGATCTGAAGATTTTCAAAAAAAAGAAAAGGAAATCCTAGAACTGGAAAACACGATTTAAAAAATAAAAGATTGTCTAGATGAGACTAACTGCAGATAACCAAAAAAAAACCAAACCTGTTGCCATCGAGTTGATTCTGACTCATAGCCAACTGCAGATAGGATACAAGAAAAGAAAGCATCAATAATCTTTAAGACTGATCAATAGAAATTACCTAAAGTACAGAGAGAGAAAAGATCAGAAAAAATATATATATACAGAGCCCCAATGACCAGAGGAACAGTATCAAGTGGTCCAAAATACATGTAATTTGAACCCCAGAAAGAGGGAAGAGAAAAAAACAGGGCAGAAAAAAACTGAAGTAATAGCAGAAATTTTTCCTAATTTGATAAAAAAAAAAAAATTAACCCACAGACCCAGGAAGCTCCATGAATCCCAAGTGGGAAAAGTATAAAGAAAACTTGTCGTTAGCTGCTGTAGAGTCAGTTCCAACTCATAACAATCTTATGCATAACACAAAGAAACACTGCCCGGTCCTACGTCATCCTCACAATCGTTGCTATGTTTGAGCCCACTGCTGCAGCTACTGTGTGAATCCATCTCATTGAGGGTGTTTCTCTCTTTCACTGACGCTCTACTTTACCAAGCATGATGTCCCTCTCGAAGGACTGGTCCCTCCTGATAAAATGACCAAACTACATGAGACGAAGTCTCGCCATCCTTGCTTCTAAAGAGCATTCTGGTTGTACTTCTTTCAAGACAGATTTGTTCATTCTTCTGGAAGTCCATGGTATATTCAATATTTTTTGAACACCATAGTTCAAAGGCATCAATTCTTCTTCAGTCTTCTGATTTTTAACACTTTAAAGAGGTCTTGAGGTCTTTTGCAGAAGATTTGCCCAATGTAATATGTCAGTTGATTTTTTTTTTATTGTGCTTTAAGTGAAAGTTTACAGTTCAAGTTAGTTTCTCTTACAAGAACTTATACACACATTGTTATGTGACCCTAGCTGCTCTCCCTATTATGTGACAGCACACTGTTCCTTTCCACCCAGGACTTCCTGTGTCCATTCAACCAGCTCCTGTCCCTTTTTGCCTCTCATCTCACCTCCAGACAGAAGATGCCCATTTAGTCTCATGTATCTACTTCAGCTAAGAAGCACTCTCTTCACGAGTATCATTTTATGTCTTACGATACAGTCAAATCTTTGTCTGAAGAGTTGGCTTCCGGAATGGTTTTGGTTTTGGGCTAACAGAGCATCCAAAAGCCATGTCTTCCAGGGTCCCTCCAGTCCCATTCAGACCATTAAGTCTGGTCTTTTTACTAGAATTTGAGTTCTGCACGCCACTTTTCTCTCTGTTGTGTTCCCTGTCAGGGTGGTCATTGGTGGTAGCCAGGCACCATCTAGTTCTTCTGGTCTCAAGCTAATGAAGTCTCTGGTTTATGTGGCCCTTTCTGTCTCTTGGGCCAATACTGTCCTTGTGTCTTTGTTGTTCTTCATTCTCCTTTACTCCAGGTGGTTGGGACCAATTGATGCATCTTAGATAGCTGCTTGCAAGCTTTTGAGACCCCAGACGCCACTCACCAAAGTAGGATGCAGAACATTTTATTAATAAATTTTGTTATGCCAATTGACCTAGAGTCCCCTGAAAGCATGGTCCAGGACCTCCACCCCTGCTACTCTGTCCCTCAAAGTGTCTGGTTGTATTCAGGAAATTTCTTAGCTTTTGGTTTAGTCCAGTTGTGCTGAGTTCCCCCATAGCGTGTGCTGTCCTTCCCTTCACCTAAGATAATTTTTGTCTACTATCTAGTTAGTGAATAACCCTCACCCTCCCTCCCCACCCTCGTAACCATCAAAGAATGTTTTCTTCTGTGTTTAATCCTTTTCTTGAGTTCTTATAATAGTGGTCTTATACAATATTTGTCCTTCTGTGACTGACTAAATTCACTCAGCATAATGCCCTCCAGACTCCTCCATGTTAATGTTTCACAGCTTCATCATTGTTCTTTATGGTTCCATAGTTGGTGAAGTCTTTTGATGAGCATAAGTATTTGATTTTTAGGAGCTCCCAGTTACCTATTTTCTCTTCTGGTGTTTGTGCACTGTTACTTATGGTTTGTATTCTGTTCATGCCATGCGTTAGGGCTCCTAGCATTGTCGCTATTTTTTCTTCAATGATCTTTATTGTTTTAGACTTTATATTTAGGTCTTTGATCCATTTTCAGAAAGTTTTTGTGCATGGTGTGAGGTATAGGTCTCGTTTCAGTTTTTTGCAGATGGATATCCAGTATGCCAGCACCATTTGTTAAACAGACTGTCTTTTCCCTATTAACAGACTTTGGGCCTTTGTCAAATATCAGCTGCTCATAGGTGGATGAATTTATGTCTGGATTCTCAATTCTGTTCCATTCATCTATGAATCTGTTGTTGCACCAGTACCAGGCTGTTTTGACTACTGTGGTGGTATAACAGGTTCTAAAATCAGGTACTGTAAGGCCTCCCACTTTGTTCTTCTTTAGTAATGTTTTACTTATCTGGGTCCTCGTTCCTTTCCATATGAAGTTGGTGATTTGTTTCTCCATTTCATTAAAAAATGCCATTGAAATTTGGATCAGGATTGCACTACATCTGTAGATTGCTTTGGGTAGAATTGACATTTTCACAATGTTGAGTCTTCCTATCCATGAGCAAGATATGTTTTTCCACTTATATAGGTCTCTTTTCGTTTCTTGCAGTAACGTCTTGTAGTTTTCCTTGTATAGGTCTTTTACATCTCTGGTTAGATTTATTCCCAAGTATTTTATCTACTTGGGGGCTATTGTGAATGGTATTGATTTGGTGATTTCCTAAGTTCTCTTTGTTGGTGTAAAGGAATCCAACTGATTTTTGTATGTTTATCTTGTATCCTGAAACTTTGCGGAAATTTATTAGTTCTAGTAGTTATCTTGTGGATTCTTTGGGGTTTTCTGTGTATAAGATCATCTCATCTGCAAATAGGGATGCTTTTACTTCACCCTTACCAATCTGGATGCCTTCTATTTCTTTTTCTTGCCTAATTGCTCTGGCTAGGACCTCCAGCACAATGTTGAGTAAAAGTGGTGATAAAGGGCATCCTTGTCTGTTTCCTGTTCTCAAGGGGAATGCTTTCAGACTCTCTCCATTTAGGATGATGTTGGCCCTTGACTTTGTATAAATGCCCTTTATTGTGTTGAGGAATTTCCCTTGTACTCCTATTTCACTGAGAGTTTTTATCATGAATGGGTGTTGGACTTTGTCAAATGCCTTTTCTGCATCAATTGATAAGATCATGTGGTTTTTGTCTCTTGTTTTATTTATGCAATGGATTCCATTGATTGTTTTTCTAATGTCGAACCATCCCTGCATACCTGGCATGAATCCCACTTGGTCATGGTGAATTATTT